GGTGCTGTGGGCCTGGCTACATAAATAAGTACCAGGAGAAGCTCTGGCCTCCTGTGATGGAAAAGGCCAGAGATGTTAATCCCCCCTTCCCCCAAAACCAATTGAGCCGTAGGAATTCAGGCCCTGTGAGGTGTACCTGGCCCCAACATAATGTAGCTGTGACCTCCAGTAGCCCTCACATGAAACTTGGAGACCTAGAAACTTAGAGCTTTAAAGGTAAGAAAGTCCCTTGCCAGCTGGTGAAAAACAAGCCCTCCCCACCAACCTCTTGTCCTCTTGGGAAAGGCCTCGGGGGCTTTTCCTATCCTCAGTTGCTGTGGCCAGGACCCTGGAGTTCCAACAACCTAACCTAAACCAAGACTGTGTTTCACCCTGAAATCTCCCTCCTGTGACTTAAAGGACCCAGAAATTCCCAGCCCAGGGAGAAGCGCAAACAGCTGGGGGTGGGTTTTTGTGCCTGCTTCCTATTCCTGTGCCCACCCCCCCCTCCTCCTCTGTACAAAGATAGAAAGGCACCTCCACTCCTGTCCTCCCTCCTGCTGCCCGGGCATTATTGCAGGATGTAGGGATGCTGCAGGGGCATCACTGCAGGACGTAGGGATGCTGCAGGATCACAGAATCATAGAATGTTTTGGGTTGGAAGGGACCCCTAGAGCCCATCCAGCCCAGCCCCCCTGCAGGAGCAGGGACACCGCTAACCACATCAGGGTGCTCACAGCCCCGTCCAACCTGGCCTGGAATGCTTCCAGGGATGGGGCCTCCACCCCCTCTCTGGGCAACCTGTTCCAGTGTTTCACCACCCCCGTTGTAAAGAATTTCTTCCTTATATCTAGTCTAAACCTACCCTGGTTTAGTTTAAAACCATTACCCCTTGTCCTGCCAAGCACCCGGGGCTGAAGTTGCCCCGTATTAAGTAACCCTGGTTGATCGCAGCAGCCCTCTTGCCAGGGAGAGGGCGCAGAAACGCCATCCAGTTTTTTTGAAGACGTCAGATCTAACTGGCAGGGTCGGTTGCTACACTCACAAGGCCACGTCTCCCTTTGACGTGACAAGAGACCGAAAGCCAGCCGGCTCTGTTCAGCCCGGCGTTACCCCCGCTGGCCCCCTCGGCACCGCCACGGAGGGAAAACCAGCTCGGCTCTCCCACAGCGTGCAGAGGAGGCTCGGGAGGGACAATGGCTCTCTCTATGCCTGCGCTAGCAATTCCCAGGCGCCGAGAGCTGACTCAGGGCAGCAGGCCCTGCCCTCCCCGCCGAGGCTCAGAAGGAACAGGGATGCCAGTGTTACAGGTAGAAAGGGGGGGGCTGCTCAGGGCAAGCAGGTGGCACGCTGAGGCATGAAAGGAGCCTTAGTTTGGGGCCCTGCAGGGCAGCCAGGGAGCTGAGACGGATAGATTTGCCTACTGTTCCCCTGGGCGCAGGAGGGGCAGCTCCCAAATTCACCGCTCCAGAGCCGGGCTGGGCCACAGCCCCTCTGCCTGCGATGCAAAATTTAGGTCCCGGGCCAGACGTCTGAAGGAGAAAAAAAAAATAATTCCTGCCTGCAGCCCTGCTACTCCCCAGCGCATCCCTAGCACCTCCAAGGGCTGGGGTCAAGCGCAAGCCTCGAACTCCACT